TAATGGCGAGCGCGACTGGCGCCCGGCAGACGGTGGTGCATGCTGCTGGGAAAGGTAGTTTGGGATGTCGCGTGGTCTCTGACCGTAACGGCGTGGCGGCGAATACGCAGAGAAGCCGCGAAGCCCAAGACGGTGATAAGGGCACTGGCAGTACAAGTGATCAGCTTCTCTGCAGTGAAAGCATAGAGGCCGATGATCGGGTGTGCGCCAGACATCAGACTTCCGAGGAGACGAGTGGCGATCGTCGATGTACTGGACCGGTTGAACCGAACAATGGGCGACAGAAGCACCTCGGACAAAGGGCGGTGGCGTGTACGTGCCTTCGTAGTATGGTATGTGCTGCGCTGACTCGAGTGAAACTGCAGGGACAGGATGAACGAACAATGGCGGTGATGCAGCAGGGCGTTTCAAGGCTTCCGCGTAGGTTGTCCCACGGTGGTATTCAGCAGGAGCTGACGCATCTGTATCAGGAGGCAAGGTGTCCCGCAGGGCCTGGTGCAGCTCATCCTTGATCACAGTTGCAATAGAGCTAACCGTAGGATGAGGTGTTACACCAGCCTTTTGCAACTCTTCACGTACGATATTATGGATGAGTTCACGTAAGGAGTCATTGCTGGTCCCAGAAGCGGCGAAAATGTCAGCAGTGGACAAGCCACTGACTTGCCTGTCGTATAGGTTTGATCGAGGCCGGCGAAAAGCTGGTCCTTGACACCACGCATCAAGTGACGCAACTTCTTGTCCTTCGTCATTCTTGAATCTGCCTGTCGGAAGAGACGCGTCATGTCTTCGACGTACGCGGTCACAGTTTCGTTTGGCGACTGGACGCGGGCAAGAATAGTTCGTTCAGCTCTTTCTTGGCGGTCAGCGCTGGCATATGTCTGCAGAAGTCTACGAGAGAATTCAGGCCACGTCGTCAGCTGCTCCTCTCGATTTTGATACCACGTGCGAGCCCCGTCTTCGAGATAGAAGTAGACACGACCCAGTTTCGCCGCGTCGTCCCACTGATTCAAGTTGGCTACGCACTCGAAGTACGCCAACCAGTCCTCAACGTCTTCGCGCTCCATACCATGGAACGTCGTCGGTGCCCGTGGGCTTTCCAACGTATAGCGGTTCGACGACGTGCTTCCCGTGCCGGTTGGCAAGGTTTGTACCGAAGTGCTGGTCATGTTTGTTGACGTGGTGGGAGCAGTATCGTTGACTTCCGGAGGCAATCCCCTGATTCGGTGGCTGGTCCGATGCACGGGAGTATTGACTGGCACTGGACTCGTATTACGGCTTCCTGGGGGGGGGGGGGGTCTGCTGCATCCGTGAGACTACCCAGCACCTCCCACCAGTTTGTCACGATGAGTCACAAGTACTGGGGGATTTATTTAACGACCGGGTAGCTAGCTCTAGGACGATGCGTCAGTCGTGGCTGGCTCTCGAGCAGAGAAGAAAGCACGCGATCTTCTTTTTCCTCCAGATTGAGAGCCGCTCTTGCTGTCGACCCACTACGTGCTGGTGGCAATATTGCGGCGGGTTCTTGAGTGACGTCGTCGTCGGTGGCGGATCTTTGGCAGTTTGTCGTACAGCAACCGCACCTCCATCGGTTGCTATCTTTAGTTTTCCAAGTGATGTCGGCTAGGGGACCAGCCACGGATCGGGCCAGTGTAGGACTGGCGGCGGGGCGACTTGCAGTGACCGGGCGACTGGGAACGGTATAGTCGTCATTCTTGCCACTGTGTTCTGGTGGTGTAATCGGCGATGTCACGAGGCATTTCACCCAGCTGCTGACGCCACGCGTTGACGGCAAATCTCCGGAGCCCCATCTGTCGGTATCGGCAACGTCAGTAGCTGTGGCCAGCCTCACCGCAGTGATAACATAGCAGGCGGTTGTCAGGGGCACGCCAAACGTCCGTTTTCCTTTGCGTGTAGCGCTGACCCAGAGAAAAATGGTATGGCGTCGGTGGTGGTGGCGGCGGTGGCGTCTGGCGACGGCAGTTCGGCGGAGCGGCGTATTGGTGAGGGTGCGGAGGGGCGACGTAGCTTCGAGCTGCAGCAGCGTAGCTCATTGTATGCGGCTGAAGCTGCGGTGCTTCGGAAACTCCAAGCGATTGCTGAACTTCTTCGTGGACAATATAGACAATCAAGTCCACCTGGGGCTGCGATGAAGGCAGCAGCTTCTGTAGCTCCTCCCGAACGATCTGTCGGATTGTTTCACGTATGTTTTTGGAGCCGAGGTGTGAACAGCTGTGCTGTCTTGCATCGATCGGCGATCGTACTGGCGCGTACGCATTTCTGAAGTCTTCTCAATCGACGTAGTGTCTGGGACAAACTATTGAACGGTTTTTTGTGCGTTCCGCACCAGCCCAGCGATGAATTCGTGCTCTACCCCTCGCATGAGCAAACGTACTTTCTTCTCCTCGGACCTGTTAGGGTCAGAGGGGCGGAAGAAGCGGGTCGTTTCTTCCGTGAAAATGGTGACATTTTCATTGGGCAGCGGCACCTGGGTCTCCAGCAACGCAGCGGCCTTCTCTTTGCGAGCGATTCTCGTGAACGTTGGCAGGAATGCACCGAGAACATATCCCCCGTATGAAGGGCAGACTTTGATTCTCAAACCAGGTTCTTGCTGCGTATTCCAGATAAAAGTAGACGCGACAGAGCTTCTCTTCCACTTCCCAGTGGTTGAGGGTGGCCATTCAGTCGTAGGGTCTCTAGCGAGGTCTTCGGGACATCAAACGATGACCCATGGAAAATAGGTGGTTCCCTTTTCTGCTGCATCATGATCCCGGGCTTTGGCTCAGCAGTTTTCATCGTTGCCATGGTCAAGGTCATGGCCTTGGTTTTCCGAGCCTACACTTGGAAAGGCCCCTACTCGAAAGGCGAACCCTGCTGCCTGCGGCTTGTTCGGTGCTCATGGCTGGCGTCGGCGTCTTCTTCGCAACGTCGGCTGGGTTCACGCGTTGACGGGGGTGCCCGGTACACGAACGATGCAACACCTGCACCAGATGTCACGGGGTCCTGATGTGAACAAAGGGAGCAGACTCCAGGTCGAAGAAGAAACTGTTTATTCGGGCCGAGCTTGGGGCCATGCAAAAGAAAAGTAAGACACTGCTACTGATAGCGGCGTACAGACCTTCGGCCGTGGATCAACTGACAAGTGGCGAAGCGTGTCGTCATTTATTTACACACTTCCCATCGAACATTCTAGTGTTACCGCTAGTGGCAACGTAAGTTCCAGAATAATCTGAAAGGTTCACAAAGCTGGCGTTCTTTTAACAAACCGGTCTACTACAATCTCGAAGCTTCTCGAACCCCATAGGCGCTGTTTGCGCTGAACACAGTGTAACGGGGTGCTAACAAAACTTGAGGGAATGAACGTGGCAGTATGGTAATTTTTATTGAGCGAGCTCTTACACAATGACGCTAAAGATGAGTACAAATGATCATGTTTACTGTTGCGTACCCATGTTACCAACAGAGACATAAGTATTGGCTACGCTAGAAGCATTAAGCCAATAGGTAGCACTTGTACCAGCAAGGATGGCCGCCCTGGACACTGCTAGATGAATGAGCTTTAGTGGGTGGCGCTTCAATACAAATGCAGTTGACCCTACGTGACGCTTGCTTGAAAAGACTGCGTATGCACTGTTTATAAGATCCCGTTGCCTGCACGGCAACAGTAATTGACGTTTCGCGACCATTACGGTCTACTTAAAACGCAGGTCTGATATTTCGCGTGGCCGTGTGTCAAAATACTTGGTTGCTAGCCAGGATACTTAGGTTCGATTTCTGCTTGAACCGTGATAACTATTCTTCGCGTATGCTGGGTAAACTCTACCGCTGCCAACATTTGGGGGTAAAGTTCCTTAGGGCCAACCTAGTTGGCGTCTATCACGCACCCCAAAACACAAACCTAAACTGAACAACGGCGCAACAAATAAACAAAAACATGTGTAAAAAACTGGCTCAATGTGGAATCACCAACGTGCGCGTGTCCATTCATCGGTCAATCTATGTGGACGCCCACACATTTGTCCACCTGTCCATCTGTATGCCCATTCATCCGTCCACACGTCCACCTTTGTGTCCTTCCGTGTGTCAGTCCAGTACACTTGCAGGTAACTTCAACACAGGCATTATGGACATCAGGCCCTGTTGCTTCGCCCACTCGTCGTCCCTCACTTTGTGGAGATGTACTGATTTTTTTTTACCTTAACGCTCTCAAAGTAAATTGCCAGTGCCTGTCCACGTTGTTCCTCGCTTGATATAAACTGGAAATCACCTTCAGTGCATGGCGCATAGCTACGATTGATCTTAACCGGTCGTGACGGGTGTACCCTGAAAGTACATGTGTAACTGTTTTTTTATCCGGATAGCCAGCGCTCCATCCCTAATTGACGGTGAATAATACGGTCTGTTTGAGAAGCAGTTGTGAGACCTGGCATGACTCTGTGGTAAAACACTTTGTTGCCACGTACAGTGCTGGGGTTTGATTCCTTCTGGGACCCACACATTTTCTTTTTACATTCGGTGAATCAACGTTGCCGATGCCAGCTTTTTTTCATCGCTCACGCGCTAAAAGTACCCATGTGTGTTTTCGCCGTTATTGAGTATCTAGGTAAGTGTCAATCACCTGTGACACATACCCATGGCGGGTATGTGCCACTGTCTAGCGGAAAGTGTTTGACGATGTACGTAACGTGATTGTGACAATAGTCATGAATCATGACATGACCAGCAAGCCGTATTCGTCAAATCATCTTACCCTCTCATTATAATTTTCATTTACTCTCAGCGGGTAAATTGCACATTCTCATCTACTCTTTACACTGCAGAAGTGTACTCGTTTGGTCGAGTTGGTGCTGCTGAAGTTCGATTACTGCAATAGCACAAGACTAGAATTTCATGACATCTTCTTGTTGTTTTCTTCTCTAACGGCTGTGTTAACGAATTCAGCCAGGCCTAAAGGATCGCAAGTGATCTGCGGTTCCGAAAGAAACATAACATTAAACACATACCTTTGCATTCACCCACGGCGACGACAGGGCGAGGAGAAAGAGCCCGAAAATGGTCCAGCCGTGGAGCAGTAAAAAGACATAAACAGCTATGGAAAAAAACAAAGGGATATAAAACTTAACGCATCACGAAAGTTATACTAGCACCAGAAACACTTTTGCGTGCAAATCTAAAGCAGTGCAGAATGTGAGGAGAGTATTATTTGTTTCACTAATGAAATAAGTTACTGAACAATTTGTCACCTTGATTACTCTTCAGGAAATTGACAAAGACAATTAGGATAAATTATCTGCGCTATCTTCGTCACTCATCGGAGGGACAATGTCACCGTGACGTAGTTGAATTCTTCCAATATGGGAACTTGCGCGACAGTGAAATTCTCTGTTCCACGATTTATCACCATTCTACCTCATTGCAGTTTATACAGTTACATATCTACCGGTCTGATGAAACAAAACGCATAGCTAACTCTGCCTCCTTGACTTTCAGCAGGTCCTACATTTGCTCAAAATCCCTGATAAGTACACTGACAAAAATATTGCAAAAATTGAAAAGGAGCCTGCAAACGGGCATCGCACAGTCGTGCAATAATTCAGCGGCAGTTACACACTACAAGTACAAGAACACGCGAAAACAGCAAAAAAAACGTAGAACAATGACTGATACATTGAAAAGTACCCAATGATGCAGGAGATGTACACATTGTCATAATCATCGTCATCAGCTTGACTACGCCCACTGCAGCAAAGGCCTTCCTCATGATCCGCCAATAACCCTGGTATTGCGCTTTCTTCTGCCACGTTATACTAGCGAACTTTTTAATCTCATCAGCCCACCTAACTTTATCACATCGCAACTTGTAACAATGTATATTTTAATGATAGAGCAAGGGCATCGACAAAAAATTTGGGGAATCCTTAAGCTAAGCCCTTAAGAGGCGAACGCGATGGTGATGTCCTGTCTCTAGGGCATACTTCAACCTCTTAGTGCATACTTTTCTTTGTATGATGCTACTCTAGAGGTTGAAATTGTGCTTACTGCGATGTAATCGCACAAGATAATTTTTCGCTCACAACCAATGGCGGTGATGCCGGAGTTTCTTGACTGAATTTATTGCACCATTCGTGTGGTTAGGAATGAATATGTGTGGTAATGTATCTACAGGCCTTCTAGGCAGTACATTTAGGGGCAAGTCGAAGAACTCGTGGTGGTACATGTTCTCCTAGCTCTCTTCTATGGCGTCTATCGTAATCTGACGCTAATTATGGCACTTATTAACCAGTGGTGGAACAGTTCTTCATCGTCTCGGTGAGGTCAACTATGAACTTGTCCTAGCAGACACATGGCGCCGTTCTCGTAAACTAAGCTCCTCTAATGTTGTTCATATCTCCAGGATGAAGCCATACCATTCGCGTTAACTGGACGTCATGGACTTTTTGATGTGAGAGTTTACTTTCAGGACTGTTGTACATTTTTTCTCGTTCTATTTTATCTTGCCCTTGTGCTTTTCGACGAGCACAAACATTTTTGGCTAGCTTTTACTTTTTTTCCGGCGCCACGGCATACATCCGATGCTTTTTTTTGCTTTTTGGGGGTGAGAGGATAATGTCATGCTGTGGTGGTAGCAGGAAATTAGAGTGTAGAAGTTACGGCTGCTGTGGCCGAGTAAACAGTCGTTCCCGGTTTCTGCTCGTCATGTCTTCTCACGGAAATATCTATCTGTCTATCTATCTATCTATCTATCTATCTATCTATCTATCTATCTATCTATCTATTTATCTATCTATCTATCTATTAAGGGCTCGTTTTTCCCGTGTTTTGACACAATAAAAATCAGATCTAATAGAAAATAATGGCAAGAAAACTATAGGAAAAATATAGGGAAAAGTATATATATATATATATATATATATATATATATATATAGCTATCTATCTGTCTGATCTCCTGTATGATCCAGGGGCAGTATTCAGGAAACGCGTGACCTAATGTGATTCTTACAAAAGAACATCACATCTATGCCTTCTCACTTTCTCAAAATTCATGCAAACGAGTGAGGTACTTGTGCTAATGCCATACATGTCCACCATCGTTTTTCATTATCACCAACTTTTGTCAGCTATTCACACCACACACACCTTTCACGGCATGGTCATGATTTTATTACTTGTATGTTTTTACCCGCCTTACCGCGAGGAATTTTATGGCCCTTATACAGCCGCTTATCACAATCATTGTCCATATTTTTAGTAATATGAATTGGCGCTCTTTGGCCGTGAAATGGTCCTTTGCGCCACAAAAGATCAAACATCATCATCAAAATTCATGCAAACACTTTCAGGGGAGTTAAACCTGTCGGTATCTGTAGAACAGAGATGGCAGAGACAACGTATTCATAATTTCAGCTACTAAAAGCGCCGAGAACAGTCGTACTTACCCGTGCTGCGGTGCCTAGATAAGGCACAGCTATTGCGCCCAATGTCATGATGGTGCCGCTTGCGAAAGCTGCAACCAGAATATTGATGGGCATCAGAGGCAAGTAGTGCAGTTTTGACATGTTGGTTGTAACGAAAGTATAGCATGAAAATTACATTAAAGGTTGGCTGAGCCAGCTTAGATGTTTGCGTGTTGCAATGCTATGTACGGCGCCGTTGTTCAATTTACAAACAAGTTCAGTGGCCACAATTCGGGGGGTCGAAACCTAAGTACACTCGCGTTCACAATCAATGAAATCCTAGTTGAACGCTGGCTATGTACGGCAAACCTGGCAAAAATGTTTAGTTTCCTTAATATATTTAACAAATCAAACGGAACCTGAAGAATGGGGGCTTAGGTAATGCTATTAAAAGGTTCATGAAGTTGACATAAATCCGCAGTCTAGGCGTTACACATAATTATGCGTTACACATAATTATGCAGTGATTTACTCATACAAAGTTTTCAAAGTGCGTTTTATTCACATAGACATTGCTGATAACCCACGTGGCATTTGTACACAATATTGCACCGATTACTTCTGGTGCAGTGAACAAATACAAGAGTGTAATTTGTTTCTCAAATCTAATGATTCGTCTGGTACATGTTATTTGCAGGCTGGCGATGAGTAAAACGCACCAACACTTTTTTTACGTAAAGAACTAAGCAGTTTTTCGTCTGCCACATGGTGTTCGTGTCTTTCGTGCACGCTAACTTTCAGCACAAAAAGAACAATAACTACCTTTAGGAATGGACATTAAGGAGAAAATCGGTGTCCTCTATTACCACATCCTGTGTGAATGTGCATATTATTTGAAAAATTGAGGCTGGTTAACCACTTTCTCAAAAGATTCACTTCAAAAAGTAGTAAGATCGCTAATCAAGGATTACTTCAGTTTCGCATTACCTTACTGTTTCTGAGGTGTAATAATAATTAACTTCATCATCAGCCCACTGCAGGACAAAGACCTTCCCATGTCCCGCTAATCGACCAGATGGAATCACAGACGCGAACAATAAAAAGCAGAATTACTGGTGTTACCCTTTAAAATAGTTATAATTGATGGAGGTGTGACGTCTCCTAAAGCAACATCTGATTTCGAAAAACCCCATAGTGGAGAGCTCCGGCCATCTTGGGTTTTTTAACGTGCACCTAATGCTAATTACATGGACCGAATGTATTTTCCCCGTGTCCAAAACGTAGCCATCGTAGCCGGTATTTGAATCCCGCTATCTGCGAGTCAGGAGTTAACCACCAACAGCACTAGACCACTGAGGTAGTTTTCAAAAACAACAAAAGAGCCGTGCGGTTAGAAAATAAACTGGTTTTATGGAAATTTTCGTCGATATCGAAAATACATGTGGCCTGGAGTAGGCGCAACAAAACTGGCGCATCAGACGTCGCAATGATTTCCAACATAAGACGTAGCCACCAAACGCCAATAACAATGACAACACTAAACCAGATCTCTGCTGGATGTGTTCATTGCCCATTAGTGCTTGAGAGACGGAGCTCAGAATTTCTCTTAGCTATTACGTAAAACGCGAATAACTCTGCTATACCAAAGTGGGAGCACAAACCTAAGAGACGCATCACAATGACGGCCTTCTTCTCGTTCAGCTTGACGTACGGCGTGACGACGTCGACGTAGAATATTGCTGCGTGGGAGTTGACAATCGACGAAACAGTGCTGCAAAAAAAAGCGAAAAAAATTTATTTACTACTCAGTGATTCATGCATCACACTTATTGCGTAATGAACATTAATTATGCATTTTATTTAAAAATGCATCTACAATAAATATCTTATACTTATTTTGACATGTGTTTCGTAGACCTTCCGTTCTGGCTCCACAAGCTTATGGCTATGCATGATGCTCTCCAGAAGCCTCTTTTAGGTGGCTAATGAGATGAATCAACCGAATGTGTACAAAACGCGTTTCATAAAACATTGCAAAGGCGTCACATTTGTGTTCTGTCCAAAGCAATAAAAGGTTTCCTTATGATGTTACATCACGTTGGAGCCGTCACTCTTCATCATAAGTTTTGTGGTTACTGTGCCGGTAAGCTATATGACGCCTAAATACCTTAACGATGGAACTCAACCGGATTGCCTTAAGGCCGCGTTCACACTGAGCGTTCCGGCCGCCGAAAGTGCTCCGAATCCGGTTCGGCGGCGGCGAGATCCGCCGAAAGGGCCCTCTCCGCGCCGAACGCTCTCGGACTGATTTTTGCGGCGTCTGCCACCGAAGCGGTCGCCGCAGACCAATAGGAGCGCTAGTCAAGGAATTTTAAAAAATGGCGGCCAAATGGCGGCCACTTGTTATGCCGCAGTGCACGTAACTGAATGTTTAAACCAACTGGGGTTTAACCTACTCTGTGCCTATTTCGCCTCCGTATTTCGTGAAAGAGGTGACCAAGCTTGCTGTTGGCGTGACCTGAGCTTGTTGCGGCCTTCCAGAGCAAAACGAACCCACCAAAGCCGCTGGCGTCGGTGGTTTTTCCGCTCTTCGTGCATTACAAGACAGCCACTTGCCAGCGAAGTAAGCAGTGCTGTCTTTTCTTGCTTCTTGCTGTATGATAATCGTCAAAGTATACACCACCAGATAGCGTAGCAGCGCTTGCGAGCCGCGGCGACAACCGAATGACAGCGCATCCATCCCGCGTTCGCCCCGTAGTAGATGGCACATTCGGCGGCGCGGGGCGCGTCCAGTCCGAACGACGCTGCGTTTCGGCGGCAGGGGAATTTCGGTCGCTGTAGAAAGCGGATGTTTCAGTGTGAACTAGGCATGACTCCAGGAAAATCGAACCCAATTCTGCCTTTCTTGGTGTTCTCCCTATATGTATTCAGATACGAGAAACCGAGAGAGCTATTTATATGTTTTACTACAGCACAAAGTGCTTAACATTTTTCTAAACTGAAACAATGAAATTGTAGAACTAATATGTTTTTCTAATTTTTGCAGTCATTTATTTTCAAGAAACTTCGAGTACTCATTCATTTAGTGCTAAATATTTATTATCACTATAACGTCTTCCTGCAACGGGCATTAAAAAAACAAAGCTAAAGAAGACATGAAAGTGTAACATTTAATCTTGTCTTTTCGCTTCGCCATTCATGGTCAGCTTACTGCTTCGCTGACGTGGTACGATGAATAGCTAACTCCCCCACGAATGAATTTTCATTTAGTGTAAGTCCAAGCAATGTTGACAAATCAATCGACTACTGTACCAAGCTTCGATTTGACAAAATTATGTTCTCTTACCACTTCATGTATAACACTTTTATATATCATTACTTAGCCTTCTTTTATATTATAAGACATAATGTCAAATATTTTTAAACTAAAAAATCAAGTTTTTATTTCACCTACGCTCAAGATGGGCAGAAAGCAGAATCCATTTGTTTTTTTTTTCTAAAGCATTGTTCTAATCACGGGCCGCTGCCCTTTAACATATTTCTGCACATATAGTGCCTTTGCAATGCTCCAAGATTGGGGACGTCACATAGTTTGAGATGGCCTCTGTGATCGGATCTTTTCGACCAAGCTATTATGTCATGTCTTGACGTCATCATGTGGCATTATATCATATGACCTCACTATGACAGCAGCGTGACGTGACGAAGTGAAACGTCATCATGACGTCATAATGAGACGTCATCACGTGATGGTGTTTCTTATCAATTATTTTGAGGCTAGGGGACGTTGCCGCTCAGGCATGTAAGGCTTCCGCATTGATGCTGGTATGTACACATTCAAAGTTGAAACTTCTACGCGGAAAAAAGGCAGCTCAATAGCGCTCACACGCATGTATTATATGCGAAACTGCAATAAGACATCGCGGGATGAGAACAAAACATGCATTTATTTCAAATTACTGGTCTTTCTGGGCATATCGTATTAGCTATATTGAAATAAATAGTATTCGCTCTTCAAATCAGAGCTGCAAAGGCAGGAAGCATCTTCACGCACAATGGGTTGCACTTGTAAAGTCTACGTGATCCTACGTGAACAAAAAAAAACTATCGGTAGTCTGCATTGTGCTACTAAATTGCCATGAAACTCTTTTTCACACTTTTTTCAACCAAGTTTTACAGTGTCTAAGAGAGACCACAATTTTTGAAATAACAGGAATTTTTCGGGACATACTTTGGTTGAGGTCTCGTTTCTGTACAGGTTATATTGTTACAAGCTTCCTATATGCCTAATACAATATTCAGTCGCTAATTTGCTCAAATATCTTAACGCCCCTTCTCGCGCCTTTTCATACCATAGCTGTCGCATAGCACATCATGTTTCACAATCGGAATCTAAAAGCCACACCATAGCTCAGTAATTTTTGGTCAGTATTTGTTGCTAGTGTGGTTTGTGCTGTTGAAGCTGCTCCCGGTAGCCCTGTAATCTCAAAACTGTGCGCAATATTACGCTAAACGTATCTCCTCACCTGCTCAGCTTGTTTCTATTTTAGTCTGCATGATTCTAATCAGTCACGTGAGATCAGAATTTTCACATAATAAACAATACTATGCATGATGGATCATCTTAAATGTGACTGCCTTCGCCTAGTTTATGCCTCCGTACATTACCTTGTCGATGCTCCAACGAGTCCAGCCAAGAATAAGCCTCTCAGAATAGGCACATCAGCAAGGTTCTTCATCATGTAGTACGGAACAATCTGAAGGAAGGAATGTATAGTTAATTAAGAAACAAACCGCCCGTAATCAATGTGACAAAAAGTTGTGGCAGTAAATATCAATGCAGTATAACATACCGGTTGTGTGCGTGTATTTATGTATGTACGTATATATATATATATATATATATATATATATATATATATATATATATATATATATATATGTCTGTGTGTGTATAGTGTCTATATGCGAACAAAGGTACTTTGAGCCCATTTAACACACCCCAAACGCCAAGATACTGCAGTTGTATTTTTATTACATGCTTTAAATATTTGAACATAAACAGAACGTCCAGCGTTATTTGTGTGCAGGTTGTTGTTTGACAACTTGAATACATAGCGTGTGCATGAATTCCATATCATATCTAACTGCAAGATATGATGTGTACGTCTCTAAGTCGTCGAGATTGATTTGGTAACTTGTACATGCAAATATACATATTAACACGCGCATGAATAGCAATAAACCACATCTTGGGATCCGAATAACATGAAACAAAAGATTTTGCTGCGGTTGTTACCTTAAGCATGATATCAGAACACCGCCCGTGCGGTGAGATGTGATGTGGCCGCTAATATCAAGATGTGCTAATGCTTTCTAAATGCCAAATGTTGTTGGCTAGTGTGCATTTGCGCATTCAAATTGCTTGTAATGTGCACTATGAGGTCAAATTGTAATGTAAAAGGTAAACGTAGCCCCCCTTGTACTGCTGCCTTAGTACAGTAATTCCTTCAACATAAAGCTGATGCACTCTGTAGAAAATTGTCAATGGCACTCCTGACTGTGCTTTAAGGAACGCTTACAGTTACGACTGTGTGCTTCTTACGTTAGGCGACATATTTCTTAGTGATATACTCACAAGGCCGGCAGAGCCTACTGGTTTTGCTGCAGTTTACGTTTGTCAGAACCTCAATAAAAAAGCTGGTGTTATACGTCATCAAACTGTAGGTCATCAATTTAAAATGGGACGGGACAAACAACATTTCAATATCTCAGTATAATGTTCAGAAGGAAACGTACAACATTGTACAAATCACATTATCGCATAATGTTAAATCGCAGAAAAAAATACACATAACATCTTGAACACCGTGAAACTTCTGCCTAACAATAACAATTGTAAACGCTAAAAGAACAAAGGAATATAATATGTTCATTGTAAAAAATAAAACACAAAAATTACAAAAGAACATAACAGAGCTGCATTTCATGCAGGTGTAGAGTGCGCAGCACAGACGCGTCCACTGTTAAATGGAACACCTGAGAGATAGCATGTTTACATTTCACTATTTTACTGGAGCATAGTAGCTTAGATATGCATAAGACATGGGCATGCAGATTCGTTTCATTACCACTTGGTCTTAAGGGTCTGGAATATTGATGGTGTGCATTCGAGTGTTTCTTTAAAAAGGGCCCTGTAATACTTTTTGAGCATTGTCAGTAAACGCTGCCGATCGGTAGTAAAGGCTCCCGACAGCTAACTGTGATAGCGCAGCGCATGGCCTGGAATTGACAATAAATAATTGAAGTCAGCTAAAGATTGCTTTCTCTTGTCTTGACAAATCACGGAATATACCCAAAAATCACTCTTAGCAAGCCCATCTATCAGCCATTGGCTGATTCGAACATGGCGCGCTCGCTCGTTACAGAGATCGCCGCGGGAGACTGCTACTTGTCCACACGCGAACGTGCGCGATCGCACTGAAAAAGTCGCGCATGCAAAGAAAAAAAAGAAAAGTGCTAAATGTCACGAGGCATGCCCTACGTTTTTGTTTGGTCCTGCCATTCCTCCTGCTTAGCTTCCAGTGCTTTCATCGCGACAAGAGAAGAGAGAATGCAATTGCACATGCGACAAATCTTCGTAACTCCACTCGCACTGGACGGATTCTTAAAACATTTGCAACGTTGAATTTGTGAGAAAATAAGCTCTTCCAATAAAGTGATTTCTGGTTACTTGAAAAAGTGTTTCAGGGCCCTTTTAACAGGAGATGGTGCAGTACATTAGAACAAAATTAGTAAACGCCCTGAAATTTATTTGAAAGAAACAAACGCAGCAATTACGGAGAACTTCTACTATTAAGCAGAAGGCAGTCGCGACGGCGCACGATGTCTGAATATTCCTATTATTAGATTCGAAAGTTCCCTTCAGTTCGAGTGTGGTATTATTCACCCGGTAAACACAAATATTCAAACATTACCTGATCATAACTCTTGATGGCCCCATGAAGCACGGGATCACAGTCTCTGAACCAATATATTATAGATACGCCAGTCAATTCTCCTATGATGAAGTAAACGAGCACGAAGATTGGACCTGCAAGAGCTATTCTGCAAAAACAGAAAGACAGTGACTCTGTAAACAATATATCGGAGCAAGGCGTCAAGAACGTGAGGAAATTCTGCAACACTGACGGTTCTATTGAACCAATCGTTACTTCTAAAGACACAAATTGCGCTCAAGATATTCATCGTAACAAATGAATAGAAAACCTTGAAAACACTGCAGTGCAATGAAGTAATGCGTAAATGAGTGGATATAAATGCCATTCCGAAACAATGGTTGGTAAGAAATGCGAGGAATGTGGTGTACACATATCCACGTTGTAGAGGCCCCTACTTCCCACCCCATAAGCACTTCTGGAGCCGACACATTTGCAATGCTGAGAACGTTTGCCTATTAAGATCTAAGTCAAGACAGTTTTTCTCAAACAAGAAGCGTCAACCACGAAGGAAGGGTAGTGTTAGGATTTTTTTTCTCCGCTCTTTACCTCTTTTTTTTCGTCTTCTCTGTCGATTCACCTTTTTTCTATTTTTTCTGACCCTTATCTTTATTTTTTTTCATGTGTTGGTCTCTATGTATTTCTTTTTCCTGTCTTTCCCATTCTAATTTTGTCCGACATTTTCTTTAATTTCGCTAGTCCTCTTTATCACTTGCTTTCTATTTTTTCTGTATTATACGTGGTTTAACCAGCGTTACGCCAAATGACGATGGCAGTCCACCATAGCGGTAAAGCTATGACGATGTCATAAAAGTTAAGGCAGGATTGCGCAATGCAAGGACATAACATCAGTATACAGTACATGTTGCAGTTACATGGGCACTTGTCGGGTGTTGCTCCCCTTTAGCTGCTGTACCTCTCTCGAAAACGTTTTCAAGATGAAATGAACATTCTTTCATTAATTCATAACGGTAACTGGGTTATCATGGCACAGAGGCAGCGACACAGTTACGAACTGCAACAATGCATTGGTGATGTAGACGAAGAATATATAGTGGAGGCAGAGTGTGCTGGTCTATTAGCGTTGTAGCACACGACGGCACTCAAATTTTTTTATTTGTCGATCATGGTGGCCTCGGCGTTCATTATATTTATTGCTTGCCTGCAATATTACTGGCGTCGGCGAATTGTTCAATACAGAAAGCAGCCAGCAGCAAAAAACGTAAAACAGGGTGGGATATGCAAAGATAGCTTCGTTCTTAATGCACACACAACGTATATATTAAACGTCCAATTTACTACAGCCTAATTCGCGTGTATTAGGTATTATGTCTATCCAACACTGCTGAATACTGATTTCTTAGCGTGATCTAGAGAGCATTAGTACCATACTGGCGATTACGTAGTCCTGATCTGGCATTCATCTTATCACCGCTAGAACTACAGCACATAGAAACGGTGGTCTGGATCCCACTGCATTCAGCTCTCATTGTGAAACTTTCCATAATAGCTCGACTTTGTCGCATAATACTATTGTATAAGGTTGTGGCACTTTGCTATTTGTGATCGTTGTTTTGGTGATTTTTTTGTTCGTTTATTCTATGTATTTCTTTCACTGCTGTAATTACTAATGTCTCCCTTACTCAATGCGCACCAATGGTCCTAAAGATATTTTGAATAAGTAAGAATTATATAAACATAAGTAAACAAAATCAAAAAAGTAAACAAATAAATGTGAAATTGTTAATTGACAGCCAGCCAGCGTTCGTCATTCTCCAGTTTATGAAGTTTCACGCTTCCCGTGTCAGAGGTATGCGCAGGGTTTCTTGCAACACGAGAGAACGAGCAAATTTTCATCGCATGCCCCCCGTCCCCCATTGGTCTAGTCCAAATGACAAGCTTCACATGAATAAAAAAAGGTGAAGCAAATTTGTGCTTTTGGCACTGGCCTGCCTTCGGTCACTGGCTTTTTTAAAAGTTAGCATGGCAAAAAAGGGGTTTTTGGCAGCATGCAACATCTCAGGTCTCCATCATCACCACCATATCGCAAAGACCTGCGTGACCATAACTGATTAAACGTATGAAGCGGGAAACTTAACAGAGGTTTGTGTTGCTATTTGGTACACGCTTACTGAAATACAAGAAGACGCGTTCATCAGAGAAGAAAGATTTGGTGCAGTATGTAAATGGCGTCCTGTTCCTGTTCGTATTTTGTTCTTCCTTAATGTTATGCGTCTTTTTGTGATTCAGTCAGTATGAAGCAGGATTTGTGCCCTGTTCCTATACGGTTAGGTGTGAGCCCTCCACTTCCCCCCCCCCCCTTACCATCACTCTCTAGTGTACGCACCTTTGTGCTAGAGTAAGACGTTCTCTCGCTGAAAAAAAAGACATACTAACACTTTTGCTTGTCGTATTGTCCTGGCAGCCATGAACCTCTGAACCACCATCTGGTCGAATCCAGTTCGAACAAAACCGAACGGCAGTGCTCCTGCAAATCCACTCCACAAGTTTTCGTCATTGGTTATATCAAAAGTCAGCCTGCGCACAAAAACCATTAAAATATTGAGATGACAAAATCTGCAAAAAAGTTTAATGTTCATTGCAGTTGCACAAAGATTGGTTGAAAGCCATATAGTCAACACGGGAGACATGTAAGGCCAAATGAAAACTTTAAGAAATTTAACTGACTAAATTTCTATCAGTCGCTTTTCCAGCCTCTGTATATATCAAATTGCAGCCCGATATTGAATTGTCATTATTCCTATAGTTGTAACAAACGAAAAAAGATAAGTCAAATGAAAACTTTAGGAAATTTACCTGACTGATTAAATTTTTATCTCTCGCTCTTCCAGCCTCGGCATATATCGAATTGCGACCCGATATTAAATAGTCAATACTCTTATCGTTGTAACAAAAACAAGAAGACACTTACACCTGTTATTCACAGTATGTATTCAGCGATTTTCAATTGTGCATCGATACCTTTCATGTTTTTTTTCTAATGCGCCAGGAATTTTGTGAAAATAAAGCAAATGAACTTAATTTATTTCTTCTTAAGTTGCGCACCTATTATTGAAGGATGTGAGGACACGTGTCTAAATTTTTTTTTATTTTTAGAGCTGCAGAATTTGAAATAGATTTTTCTAGAGTTTATAAGTACCAATGTTCATTTAGCATCTGTTAATACAGAGACACAGAGGGCATACGGTAATGATTCATTGGTTGCACCTGTGAATTTAAAAAAGGTAAGAATACAGCATCGTAATAACACGTGAATTGCTAGCACAGACGTTTATTGCTGAACCCTGAACGAGCTGTTGTGGTAGCAAGAAGTCAATATTTGTCATAAATCTATACAACTCACCGGAACGCCATCTCCGTTACGTTGACATCACTCATGGGGCGTAGTGGGGGAGTGACGGTGTTCGCATCGTAGAGAACTTTGATAATGATGACAATGGGCGAAAAAAACATGACGAAAGCTTGGATGCAGTCAGCCCAAACAACGCCGCGAAGACCTCCCTTTTGCGGAGAGACGTGGAAATATGGTCAGTGCATTCAACTACGATTGTACGCACGCGCTCAATGAACCTACTATTCAAAAGAACACAGTGTACAGATTACAGTGGCTGCTCTGTGTAGTGCTGTGTTGTCGGTAATGATTGTTCACAAAAATTGTGAATTCAGTTACACAGAACCTAATAATATTGATAATAATAAGAAGGAGAAGGAGGAAACGGAGGAGAAGGAGATGGAGATGGAGAAGGAGATGGAGACGGAGAAGGAGGAGACGGGGACGGGGACGGAGACGGGGAGGAGGAGACGAAGACGGGGTGGAGGATACGGAGAAGGAAAAGGAGACAAACCCCCACCTAATTATGAGGCAGGCCGTAGCATGCTGCTACAGACATAATTTCGACTTCTTGGTGTTCATGATGCGTATCTAAAACTAACTACATGGCATCAACTGCATTTGATGCTCATCGTGATGCGGCTGCAGTGGCCGGCAAAAAAAAATCTCCAAATAAGTTACGGAGAGGAAAACTGATCACATTGTTTAAGTAACTAATCCTGTAATCAAAGGTTGCCTGCAATCATATTAGAACAGAGGATGTCCTAATATGTTTTATGTAGCCAAGCTCATTGGAAACTGCATCACGTATATGACTATCATACACTCCGACTCATGTACACACTAGAACTCCTGAAACAATAATCTCAGAATGATGTTTGCGGTATTGACCTGACATTATAATTGAACGAGAATGCAGTTTTTGATAAGAGCATTGATAAAGCAGTGTTTTCAGCCCTTCTCTAGAGCGATAAAAAAGCTCCATTGTTTCAACATTTTCCTTTACTTATAATAGTAATTTTTCAATACATTTAAACAATGTGTTTTCTTCATGCTCAGGCTTTACCGTGTCTAAGCTACACCACACTAAACGCAAAAGCCGACCATATTTAATGAGTGCTTACCAGTGCGGTGTATATTGTGCCGGCCAGACCAATTCCTATGTTAGAATATACAAGTGGAATAGGAAACACTGAAAAAGAAAACAAAAGTTGAAGTCAGAGGATCAGATGGATGGGCTCATTCTATTCAAAATCAAACAATATAATAAGCTTTAGAGGTAACAAATAATGAAGCCAAAGAAAGCAAGGGTTTCTCTACACCTGTTAGCGTAAGCGAAGTATTTATGAAATATATACTTTAAGGTTATGTGCTTCATTTAGAGACGACGTGCGTTGGTTTGGTTTCTTATTTTCTTTCACACTGAGTTTGACCAGAAAAAGTTTTCATTGAACGCATCTGCCAGACATCATTTTGAAAGCACACCGATCTCTGTTACACGTGGATGCTGGATGTCCAACCAAACTACTACTTTTTGCTCAACCAGATGAAATTGTTTTAAAAGTGCTGTATTTCACTGACAATTTACTCCAGGGTTTTCTCGAAACCTAAGTGAAATTTTTATAATAGTTTCACATCATACAGAAAAGCGTTTCCTTTAAATTATTCTCGCTAACAGAGGTATTGATACTATTAAAACGTTATAATATTCCGGTAGATTTGTTTGTTGCTCACAGTAGCATATGCCAGCGCAAACCAGGTGAAAGGATGATATAACGTAAAAACAAGCGCAATACTTTAACTCGGTAGAACTTTAACATCAAAAAGGTGAAGCTCAGCGCATGTGTATACTTCGTGTCATTCCTTCACACGGTCTGCACTGCGCTTTGCTATACCTGATTACTGCAATGCGTGTTCACTACGGTTGTCTATAGAACTTCATAGCTATAGACTCATTTGAAGGTTGCCGTAACAGTGGGTTTTAGTATTCGAACTGAAGGAATCAGTGTATATTTCAATTGAAGTTAATACCACCTATATATTAAAGGGTATTATCCATGACTTGGAACATGGAGAGTAGCTTTGCAGAAATTACGTGACACTGCTTGTATCTGTCCCCGAGTAAGCAACAGGACAAGATACCGGCATCCAACGTTTTAGGGGCGAAGCTTCTTTGTCCGTGGGTCGTCCTTCCTCCGTGTATAGCATGTAGCCACCTCTACATTAAGACTGGCTCAAACAATGGCGTTCTGAGTATAGGTCGTTGAGAATAATATAACAAGATGGCGTTAGTGATTTTCGCAACATATGCACTGAATGATTGATGAGTGGGGTGAAGCGTCCGTTCGTCCGTGTGTCCAACCGTGCGTGCATCTCGCCGGATGGTCGAACAGTGGCATGGACTCGCGAACGGACGGACGGAAACACGCACACACTGACGTATGCACGCACGGACTCACAAACAGATGGCCGGACGGACAGAAGCACGAACGGACGCATGGACAGACAGACAGACAGACAGACAGACAGACAGACAGACATACAGACAGACAGACAGACAGACAGACAGACAGACAGACAGACAGACAGACAGACAGACAGACAGACAGACAGACAGACAGACAGACAGACAGACAGACGGACTCATGGACAGACTCATGGAAAGAAGCGCGGACGCATGAAGCGATGAATGGAAGCGCGAACGGATGAATGGACGGGCGGGTGGACGAACGGCTGGGCTCACGGATAGACGCTTCGCCTCACTCATAGTCATTCACTCCGTGGATATGCTGTGATTATTTTGCACAGACGCAAATTGCGATGTAGTCAACTTGTCTATTTAATCCAAAGCTTTATTGGCCCCGTAAATATGTAAATAGCTTTAATGGCCCCGTAAAACGTTTTGCCAGATCACTGTTTGACAAAACCCTAATTTGTAAATATGTGTACGTACTTGTTGATACGGCAATAGCTGAGCTGAAGATCCCAACTGCACCGATGCTTTGCTGTGAAACAATAAAACAAAACGTTTTAGCACCAACATATTTCCATTTCTTCAAATTGCAGATGGTGAGCAGCGAAACTCTTGAAAATCTGATGCTTCTGACTATTTTGGCCTATACCTATGACGTCAGTTTTATTTGGCTCAGTTTTATTTAGTCTTTTGCTGTCCGCCTTTCTCATACTAGTAAGGGCATGTCCAAGGCGTAACGAGCTGGAAAGGTGAGTTGAATCACGAAACCACGATGACGTCTCCGTCAGCTGAAGTCTCGCAACTTGCTTTTGATCTCCTCGAACAAAGCACTAGACATTTTGCTTAATCTCTCACCAGAGCGTCTGTGATAGCTCTCCATAAGCCTCGTCATCACAGGGGTTCACGTCAACGCCGACGCTTTGCACGCAATCCATGCATACTACGACATCCCGACTACAGCAAAAGTGATAAAGAAAGGTGCTCCCTCTTGTCGAAAATAAGTTATGTTAAAACTGCCTCCTTTGTGGTCAAGTAGTTTCCTCAAAATATAAAACCTGTTCACGACAAAAGAGTGTAGGTGAAAAAACACGGGTACACAATTAGAGATTGAGGCGACACCGATGGCTTGATATTTCTTAGTGCTAGTATTTGTACGCCTACCTTCGTCAATCATCAATCCATACTGTCTCCGCTTTACGGAGTTCTTGCACACCTAAATGTAAATTCTAAACCTTTGGGTGAATTCATTCTCTGGGCGAACATGCGCAAGCATCAAGCTCTCAGACTTAACAGCTTGAATTTCGTCGGATCGATAGGGGCTTCCGAAGTTTCTCTACTAGCTTTAGTACGCGCAAGCTTTGAGTGAACGAATGGGGGGTGAGGGGTGGGGCAAGCTTCCAATGCAATGCACAGTTTTTCATCACCAGAGCAGCTTAGGCTTTCCGTAGCTCCGGGTATTACAAACAGAAATTATGGTTATCACAACCTGCCGGTGCTCGGTTCGCACTCTCATCCATCTACTACTTAGCTTCCACAACACCCGCCCCAATTCGTTCAGAGTGTAAAGCAATAACTACAATTAGTGACTCCCCTACTTCCGTAAAAACAAATAACAACACGTAACAACAACTCACGAGACTATAATATAGTATCACTTGTTACAACTACAGCAGCCACTAAAGGTTATATATTACACGTAGTGACGTGGCTTGAGTGACATCAAGTAACATTACGTGACAGCCAGTCATTCTAAATGTTCTTCCCGCCAAAAACCACATAGAGTGTCACCTAATTCGAATCGTGTAACATTACGTAAGTATCAGTCACGTGACATGTACCCGTCAGAACAAGGTAACAGCTATATGGTTACCTGGTTCACGAGACCAGGTGAACCAGGTAACAGTAAAACATGGAACGTGACTATGAACTCGCCATATGTTCCCTCCACTCGTGCATTGTTTAGGGAAACGATCAAACCTGGAGAAAGAATATTTGAAGCCTTGTCATACCTATTGGTACTAGGACGAATTTCACATTTCGAGTGAAAACTTGGAAGAAGCTTTGTCGAAAGCCAACTTCGCTGTTCGTTGCAGGCCGGCGCCACTAGTGTAAGGTATGTTGTCATTCTTTTTACACAGGAAATATTATGGGTTTTTCAATGTCGCTTCACATATTTCTTCTCCGTTCGGACGTAAACTCAGTTGCGTTGAGTAATTAACATAACTTAAGATAGGAACATTTTGTATCTTACAACATGGCGATCACTCAGCACCGAAAGAACGAGAGGCGTCTTCCGTACTTACACTTAGTAGGAAGTAGACTACGCAGGCCGTGATGCCGACCTTGTTGTCGAAGCGCATTCGAAGGTACTGTAATGCCAAGAAAATAAAGCTATATGAGTGTCATATACATAAACATTCATAAATATCTGCGAATTTGAGAAGCATACTCTTCATGAAACCGTTCTCTGATATTTTCGATAGCTTGCATGATACGCCAAATACGCATTATATGGCTTATGCGATGCAGCATAGATGGTCGAATCCAACCGGGATCGAACCCACTACCTTTGGGTCAGCAGCAGCACCCTAGCCACTGATCCACTGAGGTGGACAAAAATGTTTGCTCTTTAGTAATAACATAACAGCACAACATTTTCAGAAATAATGCACTCTCAACCATCAATCTCACCATCATAATGAATACGCCTCATGCAGAACAAAGGCGTCTCCCTTGTTCCGCCAATAAAACTGCTGCTGTATTTTCTGTTGTGGCCAACGTTACTAGAACCGGTTTCTGGTAACGTTGGTTGTGGCATTACACGCGCATGCTTCTTAATATACTCCGGTCACCTCACACATATCTCTCCTTCGCGAGTTTGTATTTTCTTCGAATCAAGTCAGTTCCCGAAATAATCAGCGATTATTCTGCATACGCGCTTCGTGTCCAGTTCATACCACTTTCTTCTTGATTTCAACTATGATGTCCTTAACACCCGCGCGTTCTCTGACAGACTAAGCTATCTTCGCGTCTTCTAAGGTTACAATTAACGTATTCTTATCTATTGCTCGCTGGGTTGTTCTCGATCACATGTTCTATAGATCATTCCAATAATTCCTAGTCTCGGTAAGACTGCTGCTCAAGTAAATAGTAGCTAAATAGGAAACCTATGGACTCTATATAGATCCCATTATAATACAGATGGCATTATTCTAATAGAATTCCGAACATATCAGCAGGAATCATACTTTCGTTGGATTGCAAAATGCGTTAAACAATCGCGAACCAGCCATAATTGCAAGCAGCCCAAGCACGTAGAATACCACGCACTGTTATTCATGAAACTATTGAAAAATTGTGTGCATTAAACCACCAAACCATCACTTCTACAGTTTTATCACGTATTCGTGCGCTCGTTAGGAGTGCGGAGCTCTTTAGGAGCCGGGGCTGTCGCTAGCACTCGTCGATCGGCCCAACGCAGGCAAAGTTACGCATCAGAACAGTCAAAGGAAGCTTGCAAATATTACCAGCGAGAAATGAGAAAAATAGAAAGAATAATACCATCATTAGAAATAGAGATAAGATGTCATAACATCGGGGGAAAAAAGAAAACGTTGGCCCCGTATCCGCATATTACACCGCAAATGTCATCGAAAAACGATAGTCTTGCGTCTGGAGAGAGTGAACAAAACGTTTATTGGATGTTCTGCGCAAGAAAATTGGTGAATGGTATTCTGGAGGCGCTGCGTTAGAGTGCCTCGAGCACGCAGCGGAGGCAAACAAGCGCATCAAGTCACGTCACACGTGAGACATGAGCGCTATCTGGCAGTTATTTTGGAAAACGGGGTGCGCGCCGTGCATGCCCGTCTCTGAGGTGATAAGGCGTAGAGCGCAAGGCGACGCGTAGGTGCCACCACCGTGTCGTCTTAGCAAAGCGTTGGAAACACTTGTCGTTTCATGCAAGCGTTACATGGCCAGCGCAGCGTTATAAAGGCTACGATCCTTAAAATTTCTTATGTTTCCGTTTTCTAGAAAAAATACACATACACAACATTGACGTGTTCTTATGGTGCCTGAAAAAAGCGCAATAATTGCTTTTTAATTGACAATGACACAATTATGAACGCTGAAGCTTGAGCAATATTGGTGGGCGCTACGGATAGGGTCGGCGGTTTGTAGTATCGTTTGGTGACTATGGTGCCGTTTAGGGTACCGTTAAGGGCGGACAAATGGACAGACAGACAGACAGACAGACAGACAGACAGACAGACAGACAGACAGACAGACAGACAGACAGACAGACAGACAGACAGACAGACCAAAGTTTTCGCGCCGAAGGACCCCAAGAAAGACCATAGTCTTTAAAAAATGAATAAAGAAATAAAAAATCAAAAAGAAACAGAGAAGGCTGCTCTTTCCGTACTTCCTTGTGGCTTGGCACCACTAGTCTGAAGGTGCCCTATTTGCTTTGTAATTGACACTTTACACATCCTCCACAACACATAGCAGCCCGAGGCTATACAGATTGTTCTGCTCCCGTATTTACCTGAAAGACGGAGGCCACTCGCAGGTCGTAGATTAGGGGAACGAATACGAACGACACAATGACAGCAGCCAGAGGGATGCCGACCAGCGCCCAGTCGAGATGGAAGCCGAAGGCATAGTAGTGGCCCACGAAGCTGACCACGCCGACTGCAGTGGCCACAGACGCCAGCACGGACACGGCCAGCGCTGCTGCCGGCAGGGTACGACCGCCCAAGAAGGCCTCGAGGACGGCTGACGGGGCTCCTCCATCGCTCGGTGCAGCCTGGCGGCAAGAATTGGCGGCAGAAAATGTCAATTTATGCTTTATTACACTACCCAATAAAATTCCGGAGGGCACGAAAGCGAAAACTTTAAGGCAGCTCGTCTGCGATGTGCCAGTTAACTGAAATTGAAATTCTTCATTTCCTACCTTTTCTAAGCAATGATATAGGGCGATTGCAGAAAAAAATGGCAGCACATCTACGGAGTGAATGATGGAGAGTGGGACGAAGCATTCGTCCGTCCATTCGTTCTTGCTTCGGTTCATCCATGCGTCCGTCTGTGTGACCATCCATGCGTCCATCCGCCAGTCCGTGCGTGCGTCTGTTCGTGCGTCCGTCCCTGCGTTTGTCCATGCATCCGCCTCTGCGTCCGTTCATGTGTTCATCCACGCATCTGTCTGTGTGTCCATTCGTCCATCTATCCAACATAGTTACTGTATCTGCTAGCTACCTAAAGATAGCATTTACAGTATCTCTAATTCAACACTCCAAGTACCACCATCCAGCGGATATTCCAAAGACTAAATGAGAGGTGGCACACGCACACTTATTTACGGCTTGCGCTTCGGGTCTACTTCCCACCTTTAACCACCTCGAGTTAATTCATGGTATATACTAGTTCATTGTATTCACGGCACTGCGGCTCAACGCTCGCTAAACCTTTCTAAAACTAAGGAGGTTACACCCAGCGAGTATAACGTAACAAACCTTTCTTGTCAGATAGTGCTCAATGTACATGCCAATGGCTGCTAATGGGGATCGCAACGTGCGCATTAACTAAAAACCGAATGCTCCTGTCTCTCATTCCCCATTAACAGCCATTGACATGTACATTAAGCGCTATTTTTTATTGTTCAACAACGCACAGAAGAAATTTCTCACCGGAACCACCTTGTAGGTCAAAATGCTATACTTCCCCGCAGGGGCGCCTGCGCAAGTAGGCGTTTGGTGTGTAGCGACACCACGGACCCGAGCTAACGGGGGAGTTTCTACTCCCTCCCACGCCTAGCCGTGCGTGGCTTTGCCGTGTCCGGGGAAAAGGGGATCCTGGGGGTTGAGCAGACGCTGGGTGATTGGACCTTTAAGGCCCCCCGGCAGAGGCAACACACCCCTTTGGCCCCGGCTTCACGTAGACGGCACCCCTGGGCTGACCCACCCAGGGGAAATCGGCAGTCGCCTTTTCCTATCTCTCTCTCCCTACATCTTCGTCTTTCTTACTTTTTTAGCTTTCCTGTCTACTTCTCTCTTCTGCTTACTTCCAATTTTCTCGGCGGCAAGGGTTAACCCTGTGCAAATAGCCTACCTTGGCCTATGCGCATTGGGTTATAGCAGGGTTGTACGGCTGACGTCTGCAAGCTTTTAGCATCCGCAAACTTGCAGCGTCCCCTCGTTGGGCTCCGTGGCGGGTGGCCGCCAACGCTGCTGAACAACATACAATTAGCATGCAGAAAGCATTTCCTTCACTTAGTGATCGTGCCTCCTCAAAGCGGGTACGCAGCGAAGACATCAATTTTTTCAACCGGCCAAGACAATTGTTTCCTCGTTTCCACGTTATACACTGTGAAAAAACTAACAAGCAAGCCAGAACTGTATCCCCCTTCATAGTGGCTAGATGCTTAACCGAAACTCTCGGAGCTGGGTACAAGGTTACCAAAATGGCCAGCGGAGATCTACTTCTTGAGATACGTGACAAAGACCAATTCGATAAACTGAACACCCTCACAATGTTTGGAGACACACCCATCAGTATTACGCCACACAGGTCCATGAACTCATCTCGCGGGGTCGTATCGGACGCAGATTTGCTTGACCTGACCGAAGCTGAACTTCTGGAAGGATGGAAGAGCCAGAACGTGACAAACGTACAGCGGATTAAGATAAGAAGAGATCAAAAAGAAATACCAACCAAACACTTAGTACTGACCTTTGCTTCGAGCGATTTGCCGGAAACCATTCAGACTGGGTATACAAAGACATCCGTGAGGCCATATATTCCCAACCCCCGCCGTTGCTTCCAATGTCAGAGATATGGCCACGGCTCGCAAAGCTGTCGTGGCCGGAAAACTTGTGTTCTATGTGGAGTCGTGGGCCATGCCTCCGAATACTGCAAAGCACCTGCACACTGCGTGAACTGTGGTGGTAATCATGCCGCGTACTCGCGTTCCTGTTCTTTTTGGAAAAAAGAAAAAGAGATCATCACTCTAAAGATAAAAGAAAACATTACATTTAAAGAAGCAAGAAAAAGAGTCTCGCCATTTTATGGCCCCACATATGCTGATGCGGCGCGTCAGGGGGCAACGCCGCACCAGCCCTCGCCACCCCTTCGGCCTGCGCAGAGCGAGCCGTCGGCTGTGGCTCCTGCCCCCAAGGCGGCTGTAGCCCAGGCTACACCGCCCACTCCCAAACAGAGACCGGAGACTCCAGAGTCTTCGGGTCTCAAGGCCTCCCCCCACCAGGCGAGGCCCAAAATCCAAACTAACAGCCCGCACGTGCGGGCATCCAGTGCCTCCGAGGAGGCAATGGATACGTCGGCACCCTTGGTGCCGAAAGAGCGGCGT